GCTCGGTTTGTTAAAGCCCCTCAGTCCATTTGAAAGCACAGCTCAGGTGTAGAGCCTCTCCCTCCAGCCAGGAAATGCTGGGCCTGGCCTGTGAGAGGGACAGGCTCCAGGCTCCAGCCCAGTCTCTCTCCTCCCAGCAGAGTTGCCCTAGGACAGTGGTCGGCAAACTATGGTTCGCGAGCCACATGCGGCTCTTTGGCCCCTTGAGTGTGGCTCTTCCACAAAATACCGACTTCTGCGCACGGGCCACGAAGTTTCAATCGCACTGTACATGTCGTGGCCCGTGCGCAGAAGTCGGTATTTTGTGGAAGAGCCACACTCAAGGGGCCAAAGAGCCGCATGTGGCTTGCGAGCCGCAGTTTGCCGACCACTGCCCTAGGGGACACACAGGCCTGTTCAGGTGGGGGCTGCCTGGTCCTCACCCATCGGGGTGCTGCAGCGCAGGCTGGCTCACTGAGCACCCACTCATCGCCTGCTCTATTTCCATCACTTGGGACAGATGGCAGGAAGTGGCGGTGGGCGTCACGTCGTGCGGCCCTGAGTGTTTGGAACGGGAGGCTTCTGGGATCCTTGATTCTCCACCCACCCCTGGACCAACAGATGTGGGCCAGGCAGCTTGGCTGATGAGGGGGAGCTGGGTTTGTCATGAGTCCCTGCAGACACCTGCATGGGCACGTGCTTGAACACACACACACACACACACACACACACACACCTGGCGCTCCCCCTCTCAGAGCCCTGGAGCAGGAGAGGGGAGAACTGGCCGCTGATGACTGCCACCTGGGCCAGGACGCAAATCATCTGCTCCCTGCCACCGTGCTGCCCGGGAGGGGAGAGTCTCACTAACCCAGGGGTCCCCCCCGTCCGCCCCCGCCCCCAGCCGCTCACTGACCACATTCTATTGTCCGGCCTTTTCCGGGCTCCACCCAGTCACCAGAAAACAGGGACATTGACACCTCCCGGCATCATGGAGCTCTCACTGTGCTCCTGGGGCTGTGCTAAGAGGGTTGGTATAAGATCTCATTTGTCTCTAGAGGGTTGATGATATTTCCCCAGGAAAGTGAGGAGACCTCAGCACAGAGGAGCTGCATAACTTGCCCGAGGACGTACGGTCAGCTGGGGTAAGGCTGGGCCTGAGTCAGGCTAGCAGCCCACAGGTGCAGCCACGTTACCTCTCCAGGCCCCAGGTTTCCTGGCAAATGGTGCATGCAGGGCGCTGTGATAGGCCAGGGCACATATGTTGTGCATGTGGGCGGGGATCTACGTCATGGCACCTTTGGAGGTGATCCAGACCTCGACACCCAGCCCCACTGGTCAGCACACGGCCCTGACTTCATGTGTGGGCTAAACAAAGGCTCTACGTGAATCTGAGTCCCAGATGCAGAAACTGAGGCCCAAGGGGGGCGGGGGGGTAGGGGCGGGGGGAGGGGGGGCCGGATGGGCCCTGCTCAAGCCCACAGACTCAACAGGGAAGAGTTGGGGCTAGGATTGGCTCTCTGGGGTCCCTGCCTAGATTGCCCATCTCGAGAGAATCTTAAAACGGCCAGGATGGACTGGGCATGGGTGGCACCAGCAGCAGGGTGGGGACAGGTTTGCCTCTTGATGCCCTGGAAGTGCCCTGTGCAAAAGGGCATGGGTGGCACCAGCAGCAGGGTGGGGACCAGGTTTGCCTCTTGATGCCCTGGAAGTGCCCATGTGCAAAAGGTGGGGAAGGGCGGGGAGGGGGGGCAGCGCTGGGGTGAGGGGCAGCGCTGGGGAGGAGGCTGGAGAGAACCAGCAGCTGCTGTGCCCAGCTGAGCCAACGTGGGCACAGGCCAGCCTGATGGAGGGGGGCTGGGCAGAGACCTGAAGCAGCAGATCCAAGGGGGGAGGCCAGGCCATCTGGGAGGTGGGACAGGACCCTCTTGGCTGTCCTGCCTCAGCTCTACTCAGCCCTGACCCATCCCACCCTGGTGCCTTCAGGGCCCCTGGGTTCTCTCCCTGTCCCGTGGCTGCTCCGTGGTTCTAGGACGTGGGCTGATCACAGCTGACAGATGCACCTGTTGGAGGGAACATCAGTCAGCCGGGGATGGGGAGCTGGTGGGGGAGGGGGGAGTACAGCACAGTGACTCACTTCACACTGCACCCTCCTTCTGCTCAGGCCCCTTCCTGCCCCTGTCTGGGACCAGCGAAGGGAGACCTGCCAAGCTCTCCCCCCTCTTCTTTCTTTGCCTTGGAAATCAAGGCGGCCCTTGTGGTTCACAGAGGTCACATCAGGCTCAGCAGCTGCTCCTGGGCCTCACCCGGGCTGCCTTGGCGTGGTGGGGGAGGGGGCCCGAGGGCCCCAAGCCAGACTGAGTCTGCAAAGCAGCTCCCACTCTTGCAGAAGCTTCTGCTAAGAAAAGGGATCCTGAATTCACAAACCCCGGGTTCTTTTCTTTGCAGCTCTGGCCCTGCATCCCAGAAAGGGGCTCTGGAGGCTCCAAGTTGCACGGCTGATCCAGGAGACGTGGCTGGGTGTGGGGCCTGCTTGTGCGCAGTCACTAAAGGACTCAGAGGATTCGAAGCCACAAGCACACAGAGCCAGCCCCCCGCTGGGAGAGGGCCCCTCCTCAGCCACCTGGTTCCAGGTGTGCATCTATCCCTGCAGTCCTCTCCCAGGACCCCCCCTCCCCCAGCCCTAGGGAAGTAAGACAGAGCAGGTTTCAAATCCCAGTTGCAGCTGTGTCACTTGCCATCTAGGGCAGGCCTCAGGTTCATCTGTGAAGTGGGTACAATGCCAAGAGCTACCTCGTGGGCCGCATGTGGGTCCAGGGAGATGATGCAGGTACAGGGCCAGCCCTGACCTCCCAGCCTCCACCTGGAGAACAGTCAGAGCCTCTTCGGGCATCTGACTCATGCCTCAGCTCCAGCCGGGCAGATTGAGGGAGCAAGTCGGGGCCCACCTCCTGAAAGTGCCCTGCAGGAAGGCTGCAGCCTGGCATGTAGAGGTTCCCGGGGCGCACTCCCTGGAACCCCGGCAGCAGGCATGAACCCCGGGCCGCAGGCATGCCCACTCCAGCAGGGCCCACAGCTCCGTTTGCGCTACTCACGGAGTTCAAGTCTGGTGCTGTGATGGGCAGGCTGCTCCCTCCTCTGAGCCTCGGTGTGTGCAGAGGGCAGTGACCGTGCTTGCCCTTTGGGGCTGCTGTGAGGGCCCATGAATGACGGGAGGGTGCATGCAGGAGGCCGAGGACTGGGCCCTGACCGTGGCAGTGACAGGCAGCCTGCGCCCTGACTTGCAGTCCCTCCTGCCGCTAGTGAGGAAGGTGAATTTCACAACCGGTTCTCCTGCTGACCTTGGTGAACGGCCCGGGGGCAGCTTCCTTGAGAACCACTGGCCCTGCCCGGCCGTGCACCAGCAGGTGTGGGCCCTGCTCCATTCACAGGAAGGCTACTGGCAGGTGCAAGGCCCTTTGAGATCCTGTAGGGCCAGGAGCCAGTTGTGGAGGAGGAGGAGGGGGGATGGCAGTGTGGGGTCACAATAGCCAAGGGGAGGGCCAGGTGCAATTGTTGGAGGGGAACACTTGAGCTACTCCCTCCACCCATCCAGTAGGGGCCGGCCAAGCTCCCAGGATGAGCTCTGGGCGTTAGGGCAGAGGCAAGGCAAGAGGATGACTGTCTACATGCAACTGTGCAGCCCAGGGCGCCGGGGGCAGGTGCTGCGTGTGGCCATGCCGTGCGTGCTCGCAATGACCTGCGGATGTGCAGGGACTGTGCTGGCATCGGTGTGTGTGTGCACTGAGCCTGCAGTGTGTGCGCCTAAGAATAGGCGCTGTTCCTCTACGTCTGCCTGCCCGCCGGGGCTGCTGGGAGAAAAAGCACCCCTTCAGCCTGCCCTGTTGCCAAGCTTGAAGAGGTTTGTGTTGTCACCTCTGCTAATCCTCCTGGCAGCCCTGGGAGATGGACTAGGTGGGGCAGGGGCGGCCGGGCTCTGAGCAGTGTGGCCTGAAGTCAGCCTCAGCCCACCGTTTGCCCCTTGTTCTCGTGGGTGAGAGATAGGAGTCCGTCTTTGGGGGCATCCACTCTCCCCTGCGCAGGAGACCCTGGTTATATTTGAGCTTTCTGCCCGTCCTCCTCTCCTCTTCCTACCGCCTGCAGTGCTGGCTGGAGCTCCCGCAGCCCTGTGGGCCCGTAAGGTCCCCTCAGAATGGGAGCCAGGGGTCCCGATGGAGCCTGCGTCCCTGCTGACCATGGCCCTCCGTGCCCGCTCTCCTCTGCCCCCTCTGGACTTCTGCCCAAGAGAGAAAGGCAACCAGCCTTGTTCAGAGCATTGTTATTTGGGATGTTCTGATGCACACAGACCTACTCTCGGTGCCACTTCCTGCCGCAGAGAGACGGTCCCAGCACACGAGGAGCTCGCACGGCCTCGGGACGTTTTCTGAGTGCTAACTACTCTGGGGGTCAGCTATGTTCCTTCTCCCCCTTCTTCTTCACTTAATTATTATGCATGCATCCTTCCCACTACCCTGTCACCATATCTTGACCTCCACCCCAGGCATTTCCCTTGCTTTCTCTCTCTCCAAACTCCCAACAGCCCCAGAGTGAGAACTCTCAGCATGCGTCCTTGTTAGGGACCCCATGGCCCATTAGGGAGTAGGCATTCATTCATTGCTTGGATCATTAAAAGGTGCATCATTGGCCAGTCCTCGAGCATAAGACACTCCGTCCCAGCACGCACGGTCCCGGCTCTAAGGGCTATGGAGCCAGGCTCAGGGACCTCACAGAGCAGGACCGGCCACATGGCTGACCCCAGGTTCTCCTCTGTCCAGCTTCTGTCCCACAAACACCTAAAAACTCTCTCCCACCCAAATGGGACCCCAGGAGTCTAGCCTCCCAGCCAGGACACCCCAACACTTATTTCCCCAAAGCGACCCTATAGGGGACAGCAAGGGATGAGCTCAGAAAGGGAGGAACAACAGGTTCCTGGGTGGTCCGAGGCAGCCCCAAGCCCACAAGCCCCCAGCCCCGCCACCACCTACCTTGGCGCGCTGCATCCTGGGTGCTGAAGGAGACTGTGGCCGGCCTCCCCTCCTCACAGCCCAGGAGATCAGGACTGCCGGGCAGGGCTGGCAGCTGCCTCATGTTTGCTTGGACTGGCAGCTTCTCGCCCGCCCCCTGCCCACCCCTCCCTGCCTGCCTGCTTCTACGGGCTCCACCCCTTCTGTCTCTCTCTCTCTCTCTCTCTCTCTCTCTCTCTCTCTCTCTCCCCGCCCCGCCCCCTGCCCCAGGCAGCACTGTCCCACTCGGAATAAATGGATAAATGGTCCTAATCCTGCCCTCTCGGCCTGTAGAAGTCCTGCCAGTCTGGTTCTCTGGGTCTCCCCTCCGCTCCTGTCACCAGGGGTCCTCTCTGTGCCACCCCCGCTCTGTCCCTTTCTCTAACACACTTTCTCTGCTCCCCCACTTTGGTGAGGGGAGGCTGGGATACAGTGGGGGGGTGGGTGCAGAGCCCAGGCTCGGGGAGGGGCTTGAGTTCCTGCCCAAGTGAGGGGCAGCCCTCCTGTCGCTGCCGTCCCCGCCTCACAACACCTTGTGGAGGGACCAGAGAGGACCTCAGGCCATGCATTGTAGCCAAGAACCTGGTGTCCCCTCGGCCGCCCTCCTCCCTGTGGGGACATCATTGTGGAGCGCTGGGTCCGAAATGGCCTCACAGATGGAGGCTCACCACCCGGAGAGGGTGACAGCTACCGGGGCCACATCATGCGGGTCACATACAGGGGTCCTTTCACCTCTTTCACCTGCCACCACTTAATTACCCCTTTTTTACCCCTGGGGCCCCGCCATGTAGAGCCCTCCCAGATAGCCTGTCCCTCCAGGGCCTGTCATCTGTCCCTGCCTGGAACCCCATCGGGTGGCTGAGGGACCTCATCAGATCCCCTGGGTGGGGGTAGAGGAAGGGGTGAGGGTCCCTGGGCATCTTTGGGAGGGTAACAGACTCCTGGGCATTCGCTCAGCCCCCAGGGAGACCCCCCGGGAGCCAGGTGCCTGAAACCTCGCCAAGTTTCCCTTTTCTGCACCCCAGCGCCAGCCTGAGCCAGTGGTTCCCATGGAAACAGAGCCCTGTGACACCCTCCTCTGCAACGGGCACAAGGCGCTCACACGCTCTTTTCCTATTTTTTAGCCAGTCAGTTCGCTCCAACTCTCAGATCCGCAGGGGAAGAGAGCGGCCAGAGCTGCTAACCCACTGAGTCCAGACGACCACCTGCAGAGCGGGAGGCAGCCAGGTGTCTGCCCGGCTGGACTCCCAGGACTGGGCCTGGGGGGAGGTGCAGTGTCGGTCTTGGGCTGAGCTCCCCGGGAGCCCCAGGGCCGTTCACCGGTGGCCTCTGGCTCCGAGCAAGACCCCACAAGGGACTCAGGGAGCACGGAGTCTGCACAGTGGCCTTGGGGGGAGTGTCATCACCTGATGTGATGAAAGTGAGGCCCAGGAAAGTTAAGGACTTGCCCAGGGTCCACAAGAGAGTGACACAGCCGGTCCTGAAAGCCTGGCTCCTCCATTCCAAACAGAGCACGTGACTGAGCCCCACCTTCCCTCCCAGGTTCCTTACACCAACCTGGCAGTCTGCCACCACGCTGCCCAGCATGGGGCCTTACTTCTGGCCTGGCCTGAAGAGGTAGGACCCAAAACCTCTCAGAATGGCTTCCTTTGAGTTGAGGAGCATCAAGCTGTGACAAGACATGCCCAGGACAAATTGCCCCCCACCCCACCCCCCACCCCTGCTCCACCAGGCCCTTGTGCCTTTGGGCTTTGGGAACCTCCCACTGCAACTGCCATGCAAGGGGTGCCCCTCATAAAACACAGATTTGGGGAATGTGTGCCAGGCCATGACCCTTCCCCACCCCTGCTCAGCGCCCCAGGCACTGCCAGTGGGATCCCTCCACTGGACCAGGAGAATGGAGGTGGAGGCCACCCCTTGGAGGCCCCCAACAGTGGTGTGGGCACGTGGGATCGGCAGGCTTCCCCAAGAGTGCCTGGGAGTTTCTGAAGATTCGTGGGCGGCGTATCAGACCCAGAAGAGGTTGAGGAAGGCAGGCTGCGGGAGGCCCGACCGGTCAGCATGAGCACTTCAGCCTGAGGTTTCAGCCATGGTTTTCTCGCATCAGGGGTGGGGGCAAGGATGGCGGAGTTTGAAAGAGGGAAAGTTAGGGGTGTTTCAGAAGGTGGAGTTTCCTTGTTTACATTTGAGTGCACTGCCATAGAGAGGAGGCAGACGACAGCCATCTCAGCTGGCTGGGGCCCTCTCTCATCCCACCTTAGGGAGGAGCTCACAGCACCCCCACCCATGAGTGTTGGGGTTTCCTGGGCTTTTGTCCATCCAGGCCCAAGGTCACCCCCCGCCTCAGTAGGCCCTCAAACCTGGCTCCCTGGAACCCCTAGCCAGTATCTTGCTCTGGTCCAGCCCCTGCCCTGGTTGGCCCTCCTGCTGGTGGCCTGGTGCCCCACCAGTTCAGGTGGGGCGGGGCCTGCAGTGGCAGCATCGGCCTCCAGAGGGAGCTCTCAGGAACTGCACTCTGGGTTTGGCAGAGATTTAAAGCTGTATCTCTTCTCCTGTGGGCACCCCAGGGGTCCTCAGAGCCTGGCCGTTGCTGGGCGCATCTTTACCATCCCCTGACTAGGGTCTCTCACATGGGCTTCAGGGGAGCCAAGGAGCCCCGACACCCCTTGCAGCCCCGACACCCCAAGGAGCTCCACCGTCTCTGCTGAGCTCTGTTCACCCTCCAGGCTGGGCCTGAGGACCATGCTGCCTGTCCCTCTCAGGAGGCCCTCATCTGGACCAGCAAAGCAGCAGGTGGGGGTGAGACCTCATCCACTGGGTTTCTCAAACTATGGGGACATCATGAAGCTTCAGGGGACTCTCTGTAAGCCCCTTTCCTTCTGGCTTGAAGTGAAGACACCCCATCTATTTGGGCTCAGCTCACCTACCCCAAACCCCCTCCTTTAACCTCAACACCTACTCCTGGGTCCCCTCCGTGTGTTGGGGGTTCAGGTGCCTCAGTTCTGCATCCCTGTGGCAGAGGTCAGGGGTGACGTCTCTGCACACCCCGCCTTCTTCTCACCAGGCGCTGTGGTGTGCAGTGCGTGTCTGTAAGATGGGGAGTGCCAACTGCTCCAAGACGGGCACGTCCAGGCAGCACAAGAAAGAATTGCAGACCCCGGGGAAAGGGCATCATTCCAGCAGCACCTGGTGTGTGGACAGGGCAGGCCACCAGTGTACAGGCTCAGTCCCTGGCATTCAGGCCTGGAGACAGGGCGCTGGGAGTTAAGTGTAGGGAGGGCCTGGCTCTGGGATGGTGGAGGACACTTGTCTGTCTGTGACCACCCACAGCAGGGCCTCAGGCTGACCCCAGAGAATTCAGATATCACCGGAAATGCCCCAATTATCAGGTGATTCCTTTGGGGAAGTGGTGCCCTTTCTACTCCGCCCGCAATCAGCCTCAGTGCCTTAGTTCTCTCAGCCTTAACTAGGTAAATAGCAACGTCAGCCTCTTAGTTAATTCATGAAAAGTGCTTAGCACATTTGTGGTATGTACATTCCATTGCTCCATGTCTCTGTCCCCTTTGGTAGCCTGAGCAGGCCTCTAGCTCACCTGTGCTTAGCACAGCTGCTAGTGCATACCATAGCTCCATAAATGTCTCTGTCCCTTTCTTTTGCACACCTGACCCAGCCAGAACTGCCCTACCCAGCCACCTGGGACCTCAGACCCAGGTGAGACTCGGACCCCTGGCCCATATAGCATTTCTTTGGCAGAATCTGCCACTCGTGGCTCACAGGGCCTTTGCTCCGGGATGGCCAGGCTGGAGTCTGACAGAACTCCCAGGCCCTCCAACCTGCCATCCCTCCTGCCACAGGACAGCAAAGATACTTGGAGAAATCCCCTTGGGGTCAGGACCTCCCTCCCATAGACCCACAGGGAATGGGGACCGGCAGCGTGCCCAGGAAGGAACCTCTAGGGCCACCAGACTAGGGGCCCTGAATCCCAAACAAGGTCTACTTGTGAGACCTTGAACCAGCCACCCAGCATCTCCGAGCTTCTTTTGCTCAACATAAGACAAGGACAGTCCCGAACCCCCTTCAGGGCATGTCCTGGTCACAGAGAGCCTGTGGGAACCAAGGGACTCATTTCACATGTAAAGTCTGATTCACATTTTAGGATGCCAGCATTTTAAAATCAGGGAAATGTGTAATATATTTTTCTCTGTGGCTATTTCTGTCTCTCTGTCCCCTGCCAAGTGCCAACTTCTCTCCCCAAGAAACCAGAGCTCATGGTGATTCCTAAAACACGGGGGCTACACTTCCCCTGCACAGGGCAACAGATAAGAAATGAGGAGGGAAAAAAAACTCTCAGGGAAAACCAAAAAGAGGCCATTGTGCTACATTCTGGGATGTGAGTGTGAGTGTGCTTACAACTAAGTGTTTGAATGGCTGGGGCAAGGGTTCTGGACACCAAGTTCAAACAGCAACAGGCTTTTCCCAATTCACAGGGGAAGTCACATCTACTTTTTCAGGATTGCTACTTCTGATCATGGTGGACTAGGACATGTGGACTAAATCCCCAACTGAGGTCAACTTAAAAGCTGCTCCGATATAGTTTTAGTCTGATTTGGGGTATTGAGGGCCAAACAAGGCAGTAAGGAATCACAGGGCCAAGATCAGGGAAAGGAAGGAACCCAGAGACGTGTGCCTGGCATCTGGAGCTACTTTCTCTCTAGGGTCCCGCTGGTCCTAAAAGATACAGTGAGCTGCTGAGCAGAGCTGTTAGCCTCTGGGGCGAAGGAGGTAAAAGCCCCACCACGAGAAGGGGTGCCTGGCAAACCTTGCATGTCTTGGGTTGGGACTCCAGAGAGCTTCACTCCCAGAATACGAATGGAAACAGGTCAGCCCTCCGAGGGACTGCAAGTCATTTCAGCCCCAGAAAGTAGAAAGCCATCCTGGTTTGCTAAATCCCAGGCCACCTGCCAGATGTAAACATAACCCTCGTGGGGGAAGAAAACTTTATCCTACCTCAAATTATTTCTCTAAGTTTCAGATGTAATATGTGGTACTCAACCA